AAACACCTTACTGCCTTCACACTCCTGTCGCAGAAGACAGTACGACTTTACCCCCAGACTGCCTCGTAGCACGATTACTCGTAGTACGGGGTCTCGCTGTTCTTGGTCTGGCTGCTCCCCTTTGGCCTTCCTGGCATGATTGCACCTTGTGGAACGAAGTTCCAACCAGTGTAACCCGCGGGATCGTTGCAGCACTCAAGCCCGACCACCACGTCAAGGTGGCAGCTTTAGGTCGGGACTGAACATCTCACTCATTGGTTATCACCTTTCAACCGAGTTTTGTTAATATTTGCTGCCTCATGAAAAGGTTGCCACCTTGTAGCTACCTGGTCACCCACATACTTGACTGTTCAGCTCACAGTTGCTCACTTGATCACGAGACGTGTCTTTTTCATACTCAAACCACGTCACATTAAGAGGACTCATCGGACACCGATTGTCTGTATCGTCTAGTGAGCGTAGCAACTACTCATGTGCTGACGCGCCCACGTACACGCAAACGGACCTACATATGGGGAAACCGAACGCAGTCAGCACATACAGACTCGCGCGCGCGCAGAGAGCAGGAATTCAACCGCTCTCCACAAGTCCACGGACAATTATGGAACCCGTGTAGCAGTCGCACTGCGGAGAAAAACACGGTCCCGCCGTCCGGACTTTCACCAAGGAACCCTCACAGTCGATAATTTCCTTTTTTGACTTGCTCCCATTTCGCACTGTATTTATTTTTATAAGTGTTGGAACCCACCACTGTCAACCATGCTAAAAACTTTTATTAGTGTATATACCTTCTGGCCATCAACAGCAGTGCACTAATGACCTTACGCTATACACTTTTCTACTTGTACAGTGCACCGAGTTACTCCCGAAAGCCCACACCACAGACGGAGGAACGAAAATTTGATCCTTAACTTCAAACTTTTTGTCAGGTTGAGTACCTACATATGCAGCTCAACTAACCAACAGCATGAGTCAAGATCCCCGTCACCAGCAGATGAGATTTTCGTCACCACACAAATGATTCCTATACGGCAGTCGTCCTCACTGACAGCATAACATCCGAATTCAATAATGGGGCTTCGATACCGTACAACCATAATTTATTTGAAGGCATTATTGTGAAGGAAAGAATACACATAGATGAAGAGGGCAACGTCGTGCTAGTCTAAGATACTCGTTCAGAAGTGCCTACATCTCCAGCTACTCATTCAGGCAATCTGGATAGCAACCGACAACAAACAGAAACTAAAGCCGACTAGCGCCCATATCATGCAGCGTCTCCAACCATGCACAGGAGGATTCACTCGAACCCCATCCTGAAATGCGAGTCATGTCCAGAAAACTCAGGCTTTTCGTAGTCTTTCATACCCTCTACCAAGTCTTCTTGCGCCAATCTGAGTTGTGCACAGAAATATAAATAAATAAATAAATCGTTCAGCTGTAACACCCTTTCGGTGCCTAGCTGCCATGCAACCCGAAGGAAAAACGAGGGCTGAAATACTGCCAGGTTGCCCAAGCCTAGACAGGGGAAGTCGAGAGGCAGAGGTCGGGCTCGAACCACGGACCTTCCGGTTAGTAAATTCACGCTCTACCCACTTGAGCCATCTCGCCCCAGAAAACAGCACTTTCTTCAGCGAACGACGATCGCGCATGAACAATCCATGACCAAATCACCTAAGCTTCCGATGTTGAACACATCCTTCAATTAAGATCCCTGTTGCACGACCAAACACCCATATTCTAATTGTCACGTTGCGGATTCACTGGCGACAGCCCACATGAGCTATAGTGCTGAGGCAACAGATATCGAAAATCAAATATCTCAGCTCGGCTGTTCGTAGTGGCCAAAACGGGCACAGGTAGATCACATCGCGATCGTCTGTCGGAAAAGCGTGACGCTGACCATAAACCTTAAGGAATAACACCGTTCGTTCTTGCGGATATCTGAAGTACCGCAATAGGACCAGCTGATCCAACACAACAAATGAAATTATAGATATTCAAAGCTATCATCATCACCACCATCGACAGCATGACATCAGTGTTCAACACCGATGCTTCACTGCCGTACAGCCATGATTTATTTGAAAGCCTTATTGTAAAGAAAAGAGTAAAGGTGGATGGGGAAGGGACTTAGTGCTAGCTCACCACAATCATTTCGAGGTGTCTACACCTCCGGACATTCACTCAGGCAATCTGGATAGAAACTGA